GGAAAGAATGAAAAGGAGAGCTTTTAGGCCAGCGGGGTTAAGGGGAGCATTCATCACATAAAAAAACCCTTTACTTTGGTACTAAAGTATCAGGTGTTATAAAGGTGACATCGTTGTTCATTTCTATGTAAAGAAGAGGATTAAAATCTCCCTGAGGTCTGCGTACAGTGATATATGATCATCACAATGTCATCCCTGTCTCTGTCTTTGCCCCGTTAAAGGGTCAGCACCATCCGAGCACATGGAGCAGCTGGCTGGGTAGCCAGGGCTGAACTGAAGCATTGCTTTAGGCTCCTGATACTGCCTGCCCCTCACGACCCAGCTGCTCATGGCATTGCAGTGATCAAAACAGGGTGGCCACCAGCCAGCTATCATGTAGGACCTGTGTTTCAGTGTGTGCCTCTGGCCAGGGAAAAGGGCGAGCATTTAGTGTGCTGGGCCAGTGGACCAGTGCAAGTGGAGTGTACCAACACTTTGTGCCATAACCTGTTTCCTTCTGTCCTAGGGGCTATCTGGGTCCTGGGGGCATTGGAGACTTTGGAAACTATCCCAACTGCACTGGAGGAGCAGCTGGTTACATTGATCGTTTGCTTCTTGGAGAAAACCATATATATCAGCATCCCTCCTCAAGTGTAAGTAGCTTTTGGTTTGCAGTATGAAGCCGCAGGCGAGTGCTGAACACAGCTGTCAGGAGGGGCTTGGGAATAATACATTGTCATGGTTTAGCCAAAGCCAGGACATATATGCAAGGGGATGGAGGAGAAAAGAGGTTGGTTGCTCAGGTGCCCTGTAACAACTGTTTTCTCTCTAAGGTGATTTACCAAACAACGATGCCGTATGATCCCGAAGGGATCCTGGGGACCATAAATACCATTTTTATGGCATTTCTGGGACTGCAGGTACCTCTTTTCCTTCTGGCTGTGTGCTATAACGGGAAGATGTGAAGGTATTTTGGAAATGAGGAGGCAACTTGGTTTCTTTATTTAAGGCTGAGACTGGTTCTAACAAAACCTTTTCCAGAGCAACGCTTTCAGGCTGACTTAGCCTGAGGTGAGCATCAGACAAGTAGAATCTGACCTGGCAGTAGCTTGCATTAGATAAACCAAGACTTTTTCTCAGTTTTTGTAAGGGATGGACACAAGAAGTTTGCAAAATATCCACCTGGAAACTTCCTTTGCTTGATTGAAGGTTTGGCTTATGCTGGGATTAGGCTGGCTCTGCATGTTAGAAAATGGAGCCAAGAGATGCATAGACTTCAAAGCTTCATTGTAAACATACCGTTTTAAAGGCTGCAGCTGTAACATGTTCCCCATTGCTAATTTTCTGCTTGACATGCAGTGTTAGCCATCTTGCATAGGTGCTATGGGTGTGCTCACCTTTCCAGACACACGGGAGGCAGCAGTACACATTAGTGTTACCAACATCAAGAGCTCACAGCTCACCACCGTGTTTAAAATAGGGTATTGTGATGCTTTTTGATGCAGTTCTAGTTAGTCATTGCTGGCCTTTCTCTCTGTGCAGCAGCTGTCAACCAAACTGAAGCTCTTGTGCCGGGAAAGGAATGTTACTGTATGTAAACACTGGGTAGTAATTGATTGGGAATCTCTGTGGGGCAGAGCTTGGAACAGAAGTGTGACACTGAGGATTGAGTTATCAGGACACATTTCTTAGTGGTGCGTGAAAAGGAGCGCATGCTCTGAGCAGGCCAGGATGTGACGTGGCGCTGTGGAGAAGCTGTTGGCACTGGTTGGGGAGTCAGCGTCGTGGTGTTCCTTTGTGCAGTCCTTGGTGAGGGGCAGGGAGCTCGAGTCACGTTGGGTTAACCTAACGAAGTTGCTTGTCCCCTTCCTTAGTGTTAACATAAGCAGGGAAGGGAGAAAAGGTGCACCTCTACTGCCGAGTGGGTTGCGTTTATGTATTTTCCCCATCTGTGTCCACTCTTTGCAAAGAGTTCCCATTCTGAGCCTTTCAGCCACTTAGTTGATATAAATTCTATTTGTGTTCTCTGTCTTAGCACAGGTAGCTGCTGGCAAATATATCTGGCTCTTGAAATGTAGTTACATTTATGGGCATGAATTAATTTTTTGTACTCCTTTTATATTAGGCAGGAAAAATTATCTTGTTCTACAAAGACCAGCACAAACAAATTATGAGTCGGTTCGTCATATGGAGCATAGTAATGGTAAGTCAGATAGTTATGTAGCTCTTTAATAGGCATGTATTTTTATGCAATGCAAACTTAGTATTTCTGAAATATGTTGCAGTGGATATATAAACTTTAGAAACTTTCTATTTCAGGGAATTATTTCTGCAATCTTGACAAAATGCTCTAAAGAAGAAGGGTTTATTCCCATAAACAAGAACTTATGGTAAGCAGAGAGATACAACTTTTAGTATGATTTTGTTAAAGTACTATTTTACGTTGGAGAATGTTTTACCTTTCTTATATTGAGATCTGTGTGTATCACATAGTTCTCTAAATAATCTTTCTACTGAAAATGTGTGTAGGTCAGTATCATATGTGACAACCATGAGCTGCTTTGCCTTCATCCTCTTATTGCTGATATATTACCTGGTGGATGTCAAGAGACTGTGGTCAGGTGCTCCATTTTTTTACCCAGGTCAGTAAAATCACAGCCAAAAACATATTGCTTCCAATTCTTTCTGCACTGATACTAGCCTTTTAGGTTTTCTGCGCTTCCTTCATTTTTAAAAGAGCTGGAATTTAGAATGAGGTAACCTGAAGGATACCAGAATGATTAACTTGAGCTGAATCTTCGTGTAGAACTGGGACAGTCAAGACAAGATATTTAGGAGGGACTATCAAGTTTTCAAATGAGGGCTGGAAGCTGCTATTGCCCAATGACTGTTCTCAGTTTGGTCTCAAGCTAAGGTCCCAGGGAACAGCTGCCTAGTACCAAGCAAAATACCACAGCTGGTTCGTAGTTGGTTTTGGAAAGGACGGCTGAGACTTGGGTAACCTAATGGGAAACTCAGAGGCTTGTCAACAGAGCAATACCACTTCTGAAGATGTGGAAGATGAAACCCCCTGGGCAGCTGTGTAGGTTCTGTCTCTGTGTTTTTAGATAAGCCTGTCTCCCAAAGCATCCCACTGAGGTTTTAACCACACTGGGCTCTTAACAAACATCTGAGTACAGAATGCAAACCCACAGCAGAGGAAACCTTTCAGCAACTTTGGTGTCTGGTGTCTGGACAGGAAGATGAGTAGGGTGACAGCGTGGTATCATATCTCCTACCAGAAATCCCAGAGCTTTGAAGGCAGTCAGCATTTGTTTGCAAAGGCAACAGATCTGACCAAATAGGTTGGCCCTTGGCCGTGCTGAAGACAATAACTGTGATTGTTCTTCTTGTCAGTAAAATTGCAGGATACTGATTTGGTTGCATTTTCAATTTAGCATAGAGGTTGTCTGTATTTCTTTTCTATAAATGTTTTGAGGGAGAGAACCCCTCAGACTGTATTTGAAAACAGACCTGTGTAGCATCTTTGGGGCAAGTAACATGAGCTGTCATGATTAGCTGCTGTTGTCTTGGTGCCACTCTGTTTCATAAGCCAGGCATGCCCCTGCCTGCTTACTCTGAAGCAAGCTCATACCTGCTCTTTCAGATGGTATGACCTGTGCTTACTTTCAGGAATGAACTCAATCCTGGTCTACATTGGACACGAAGTGTTTGAAAACTATTTCCCTTTTAAGTGGAAGATGCAAGACAGTCAATCCCACGCAGAGCATCTGACTCAAAATCTCATTGCGACAACTCTTTGGGTTATAATATCGTATTTACTTTACAGGAGAAGGATATTCTGGAAAATCTGATGGAGGTGGTCAAGGTGTAGTGGGCCTAGATTCTGATGGGGCAAGTGCATAAGGTGGACTAGCCTGAAACATTGCCACTGGTGCTAGGCTGTATTACTAAAAAGGGATACTAGTTCAAGTTTACAGTGCCATGGAAGCTGTCATCAAGACTTTTATGGGACTTAAGGGACAGTATTTTCCTGTTTAGCAAAAATTTACTAGTCTGCTGCAGTTGCTCTCTTACCCTTTTCTGTATTTTGTAAATATTTAACTGATCTCCCTCCGTCATCTAGAGAAACTGAACATATTGCAACAGTTAGGCAGTCAAAGACAGCCTGATGGTGCTTATGAAAGGAACTGAAAGGGATCTGGGTGGTGACTGCAAGGGGTTATCAGAATGGGATTGTGGTAACAGTCATTGCATCTGACAAGACACCCCCTAACTCACATGGTCTGGGGTTTGTATATACCGTTGGCACCTGCCACGTGCCTGCACCACTGGCTACTGGCACACATGTAACTCGGCCAGCTTTTTGACTTGGAAGCACTGGCAGCATCCTCAGCCCCACACTTGAGTCGGCAGTGTGGTGACCGAGAAAGCTCAGTGGCACCTCTGTGCTAGTGTGCTGCGGGAAATGGCGACTCAGCTGATTGTTCTTCACTGTGTGGTCTTGGATCAAAACCTTAAGTTTAGGATCCTGCTGAAGCCTGCTGCCAAAGATCTCTTCTACTGGCTTATTAATCAGCATGGTGCTGCTACACGTTCTGGCCCTTTGTGTTACATACCTCTAGCATAGATGAGGTCTGAGTTTCACATTCTGCACTCTAAAGAGTACAGAAAGGCCAGATCCTACTGACTTTTGGTAATATCCAAATGATTACACAAGTTCGATCAAAGCATTCCTCTTCATAAATGGATTTATGTAAGGGTCCTGAATCTGAAAACTAGCAATACAGGTAGAATTCAGCCAAAAAGGAAGAGACAGCAGACCAATTCAATGTAAGATAATCGTTTTTGGAAACTCAGAAAATTCATTCATGCTGTGATTTCCAACCTAGTGCTAATAAAAAGCCTGAAATACCCTGCCATGTTCTCTGTGTATATATAAAAATGAAAAGAACTAAGACACACACCTTAGTATAATGCTACAGAAAAAAACCTCCAAACAAACAGGACATTACTGAAGACTTCTTAAACAAAGTTTTATTTATAAAGTTTGATCTACCCACATAAGAAAATTAAACGGTGAACAAACACTGTGTAGTATTTGTGTACTGCAGAATCTGTAACTCCTAGGGAACTTCTTTGACTCTCTGGACAAGTGATTTTCCACTGCTGTTCATACAATTAAGAGACTTCCCCTCTCTCCCTAAGAGACATTGCATCATGATCCAGTCCATTCAAGCAAGAGTCTGAAGCAGCAGTATTTTCTCATTAATGCAGAACCTATGCAAGACCACCATGAGGTTTTCCCCACAGCGTGAGACCTGGCGCTCCATGGCCAGGCGGAAATCTTCTTTCACTCCTTTAGTTATACCCCGGGTAACTGTATGATGCCTTAAGCCATGAAGGAGAGAGAGACAAACAAAATCAAATAACGGTTATTTGGTGTACTACAGTAATTTAAAAGGTGCTGCATGTCAGTTACTATACATCTACTGTCCATACCTGAGTTTATATAAAGAGATACAAATAGCCCGTGCTATGCTACTTTTTAAAAATCACGTGTTTAGTAGCTTATGCATCTTTCAACAGTTAGAAGTTCCACAAAAGTCTATGTTCTCATTGCTTTGAGTATGACTGTTGGGGTCGGGGGGGAATTGTTGCTGTTCTGGCTAACAGGAAAATCTATTTGCTTAACCTAGCATGTACAGAGTTCTCCTTGCTTGGAGAAGGGAATTTTTTTTTTCTTCTCTCTACCTTTGCTGCCCAGGCCACTTCCTCCATGTAATCACTTCTACAAATGGCTGGGGTTTAAACCAGAGTGAAAAGATTAACCTGTGTCTTCTGGAGGAAGGGGACAGATGGCTGCCACCATAAAGGGCAGAGGGTATCTTGTACCAGTAGGAAAGTGCAGGAAGGACCTATATCATCATATGGGCACTGGTAACTCTTTGACGAATGAAAGGCACAGTGAACACTTACTTCACAGGCCAACACAAAGCCCAGCTCAAGCCAGGCTGTGAGTCTGCGTCAGTAGACTGCGCAAGTAGCTGTTCTGGAGATACCAGACACGAGGCAGGGATTATGTTTATTCTGAGCAGAAGTTCAGGACTTGTTTTCAAACAGAACAAAGGTCCAGCTACTGAGCAAGCTAAAGTGGTGCTGTCTGGGGTAAGTCTTGGGATATTGCCCTGTTAAAGGTCATTTTGATGAACAGTTCTTTGTCTGCACACTGGCCTGCAGCACTTGATACCTAACTTTTGTCCTTAAGGCAACGTTCTGCAGCACCAAAGCAATACACTTTACTTGTACTGGTCCACAATGGGATAAGTAAGATCAAGGCTTTGCAACATCTACCTGCAAGCCCTAACTGGGAAGGGAAGCAAAAGATATGCCCTGAAATGAGAGCCCTAGCACTACTAAGGGAGCAGCATAAATTAAATTAGAGAGAAAAGCATAATGCTAACGGTGAGACAAGTCCTGAGCCGTAGGTAAGAAGGGAAGAGCTGGACCAAACCCAGCAAGCACACTGGAAGACAGAAAGGAAACAAAAAATAAAGGGTAAAGGCATCTATGCCAATCCAGAGATGCTGGAAACGAGAAAGGGAAAAGTCTGGGAATTGCCCTCACCAGCAATACCACCTCACCTTCACTTAAATCAGCAAGTCCAGCATTTGAGAAGAGATTTCTCTGCCAAAACAGCAGAGACCTCTGTAACACATGGAAAAGGCAAAGAAGAGACTAGCCTGGAGACTACTGGGCAATTCATTGATGAGCTAGGCTGAGTGAAGCAAAACTGCATTGAAAATACCCCCAGCATTTTCAGAGGTTGTGGGATGAGCCCTGTTTTCCATCTTTTACTGTCTTAAACACTGCTGGCAGCCAAGTGCTACAGTCAGTTACAACCTAAAGGAGAATATACAACCTACAGCTACTGAGAAAGCCATCAGTGCTTTTGAAGATGTCATGTAACAGTTGGAAAACAAAAAAACAGAATTCAGAATAACTGAAATGAAGAAAAGTAGCTACAAACGGATCCAGTAACCAGTATCTTGAAAAGAAAGGCTTATACTCTTGCTAATATGTGACTAAGCATTGGTATCATTTGGGGGGATTTCTACATTTTTGTTTAAATTCAACAGTGATTATTAAATTGAAGGGACATGGGTACTGGCAACTTATGAGAAAAAGAAAAATAAATGTTATAATAGAACAACATGGTTTGCCAGGCAATGTAGGCACAAATGGAGGAAAAAAAAAAAGAAAGATAAATATTGAGTAACAAATTGCTGAAAACCATGGGCAGTAAAACATGTTGACAAAACACAGCACACTATGAGCAGGGTTTTTCCACTTGGTACCTGTCAGCAGTCTGTATGCTGGGCTGTAGCACAGGTATGAATTCCTGCTTTTCCTGCTGCAGTAACCCCATGGGAGGGCTAGAAGTCCTTTAAAAAACAGCAAATAGCAGCATTCAAACACCCACACACCAACTCCCCCCCGGTGCAAAACAACTCTCCAGAAAAAGGAGCAACAAAGAGCTAGGGTGAGACCACATAGCAGTATGACCACCGAGCAGCCGAAGGGGTGCAGGACCCTAACAGCATCAAGCATGCAAATATCCCCAGATTTCATTGCAAGGCTGTTCTGCAACTGTGGTCTAAATATATACACGTATTTTTGGACAGTTACACCGGGAGAAAGGACAGTAGTAGGTGCAAAAACAATTCACAGTTGTACTACAATGAACTGTTGTAGCTCTTCCCAGGAAGTGTGTCGATCAGAAAAGATGTAAGCAGAGGAGCACTGCAAATACCACAGCTTCCCTGCAGAGCCAGCAAGAGCGCGTCAGAGAACCAGGAGAGCCCACAACTTGGGAGTTAAGGGATTTGCTGCTGAGCCCAAGCCAAGTGCATGCACAGCGGGTATCAGCCAAATTGAGTCCATGACAGTGTTTGTTACAGGTTGCCTAAGTATATTTTCACTAGCCCACAGTTTTCACTGTTTCAAATTCAAACTGCATACAAAAATGTCTGTTAAAGGACAGCACAATGTCAGAGCACAAATGCCCACTCAGAGCAATCTCCCGTTTATGACCAGGGCCACATGAACTAGCTACCAAAAGGTGTCTCAGCTGAAAGACAGTTTGTCTTCTCTGTGAAGTTAAATCCTTATCTCTGTGTGGTATCCATAACACAAGATACAACCTCACATGTCCAGCCTACAGCAAATCCAATGCCCCACCTAAGGAGAAATGAGACATTTGGTACATAGAGAACAGAGCTCGTTTCTTAACGTAAGTCCCTCAAAATGTCACCTAAATCTTATTAGGCACCTGAGTACTGAGTGCATCATTCACCCCATAGCTGCTGAGAAGGGAGCAGAGAAGCAAGACTCGCACTTACATACCTATAATACCGAGTTAGGTGCCTACCTTCAGATCTCACAGGTGAGCATTTTGGTTAGCATCTCTAGTTTGTTAATGAACACGAATGGAGAGCTATGCTTATAAAAGTCAAATAAAGACGGGACATTTTAGTAGTACAGAAACACTCTACAATACAGCTACAATAATCTGAAATAAAATATTCACAAGAATTATTCAATCAAATGAGATAATTTTTCAAGAGTTCTTGGCATGAATGAGTCCAGTACTTGGAAAAATGGACAGGGGGAATAGAAAATGCAAAGGAACAGCAAGATGTTATTGGTCCCAAAGTAGCAGACGTTTGCAAAAGGCATTCTGCACAACTGTGTCTTCATTACTGTTTGCAAGATCTGCAGTCAGAACTAAACATACCTAAGTGCACAATCAGAATAAAAATTACACTGTCAAGGTACTTTGTTTCACTTCAAACCAACTGAGCTTCTCCTTCTCTGTTCCCAGGGGGAGATGTGATGGGAATGTGAGTAGCAGCAGAACACGCAACAGCACCCACCTCAAGTTTATGTAACTTGGTAGGCCAAGATTAGACTAATAGAGTAAGATTTATCAAAAAGACGAGCACGGTATTAATCAGTCATTTCTTGCATATTGTTTTCTTCCTCTTCAACCTCATAACACTGTCACTACTGACATGTATGATCAGTACAACTATGAAACTTGGCTTGTCTAGAATGGAGTTCAAAAGCACTTAGCGGTTCAATTCAGAGCTCATCATAGAAGTCTTTGCTGACAATGCAAATAGAATGATCTGGCTATATCATCAGTTAAAACCAAAACCATGGACCTTCATATTCCCACAATGGGTACAGCAAAGGGAAAGCTTACAAGCTGTATATATATTTCGCAGGACCCGACTATAAGTCTGCAGGCTACCAAGATCTTGTTTCATCTTTTGAAAACTACATTGCAGTTTGCTTTCCCAGGTTCAGAAAAATGCAACATAATTTCCTATAAAGTATGAGGTACTGAGGAAAAGTATTGGAAGAAGAATGGGGAATTGACCTGGGGAGAAAATGTCCTCTAAGTCATGAAACAAAAAGCTGTCCTTCTAAAAAACATGTGATATCTGTAATATATTTCCCATCAATTAGGATGCAGGATTGCTATGTACATTTATGCTGAGGAAAGATCAGGCAAAGGAGCAACTGCTTTGTCTTTGGGCTGTTGTGGCAAACTCGCAGTCTTCCTGTGCATGACTGAACAATACCTGAGCTGCCTCTGCTAATTACTGGGAGGATGGTGCAGCACCTCATACAACCAGAACTGGTGTTCGTTTTGAAAGATGAAAGCCAGTCTGCAAGTTTTGAGCCTACTAGCCATTGTCCCTGGAAGCAGGGCTGTGCTGGCACACTTTATCTAAAACCCTAGCTGGGGAAGGCCGCAAGCTAACCAGTGCTGCTGAGGTCAACACAGTTGGGTGACACCATCTCTGAGCCTCACAGCCAGTCCAGCTAAAAAAATATCTGGGATACCAGTGCAGTAGACATCATCTCCAATTAGTGGACTATACTCTGAACTCTCCGTCACATCAGTTCTCTGATGAAGTGATTCCTGACCTACACGGCTTTTCCAGATGGGCGGGATATTTGACCATCTTGGCTCAATAAGCACAAAGAAACGGACCTCTCTCCTACAAGCATTTCCATCATTCAGGAAACATAACACTGGTCAAAAAGAGGTCAAAGAGAGATTTCTGTCTTGCTAGAAACACTACTCGCTACCTACTGCCTGAATGGTGGGGTCAGAACAGTAAGTAACAGCTACCATGCCAATCAAAATAAAAGCTGTGACGCAGAGAAATAGTACTGAACTATTACAAGTCACTTGAAATAGCAGCTAAGAAGTTACCAGGCATAGTCTTCAGTGATAAGCCTTCTTGCTGACAAAGCTTATTACTTAACATTGTATGTAGTGGAGCATACCCTGATTCTTGTTTTCATACAGCTGGTTACAGCAGTAAGACCTACCAAGGGTAAGAGTTTGAAAACCTACAGCTTAAAAGAGAAAATTCTCTGTCACATAATTAAGCATTTGTATTTCTTCTTTTTAATTTATTTAGTTACACCTAGTATCTCATTTTTGTGTTGGTTACCTAGAACTCTGGAAAATCTATTTACTATTCCAAATTTGGACCCAGTTGTCTAATGTTAGGCTCCCAATTTTTGAAAACTTTATCCCATTTCTGGTTAGTGAATAGCCAGAATATACTGACCCAAACTGGAATTTCAACAAACTTTAGCAGTTCCCCTCTTATAAAGCAAAATACCACAAGTTCTTATAAACAACCAGGATATTCCAAAACATTCTGCCACTAAAACCCTGCAGCAGATACTTGTTCAGTCTTGACTCAAAACTAAGAACACCTAGGAAGTTAATCCAAATTATTAATATCCTTCAGCATCTCATAATAAGCTAAGCAGAATAAGCTCGTTCAGTGCATAGCAAGAGATGACCTGCTAGTTCTGACAAAAAGTTATTAGAGTTTACCTGGAGTGTAATTTATGTTTTATACTTAAGTTTTCCATCAATCAGTGGTCCTTCACAACTTTGTTTACAACAAATAGTGCTTTCTGTGCACCATTACTGTTCAGCAAAATTATTAAGAACACCTTGCACTCATGCCTGATTATTTAAAGAATTCCTGCAAAGTGCAAGTGTCTGGTTGAGAGAGCAATACTGTAATCACTTTAATACGAATCATTCTAAAGCAAATGCCACACTTAAAGTTCTGTAGAAGTAGGAGTTTAAAGTTGAAGAACCCCCAAAAGAATTCACAGATCAGCCGGAGAGTCAGAAAAAGAAACTCATGTCCTTGTTTGTACTCCTTAGCCAACGCCTTATATTTAAACTCAAAGACATGACAAACCTACTAGTCAGAAGATTACATGAAAGTAAAGACAACCAGAACATACTCCCTTTTTTTTTTTTGCAAAGAAAACAGTAAATACTTTTTTATCCTTACTTGATCAACATTGCTTGATTTGGCAGCAGTTCCAGATGAATTTTCCCTCCTTCCTGTGTTCTTAAATAAGCAAATTCCTCCAACATATCAATATCTGAAGAAAACGTTAAAGATGTGAGTAGGCAAAAAATGGTAAGAGAACATTCCTTCTTATCCCTCATATCACAAGCCACATTGCTGAAAGGACAGTCAAAATGAACAGCTACTGAAGTATCTCATTCTTAAAAGTGATAAAGAAGATTACAGCACATATTCCTAATCCTCCACAAATTCATGAGAAATGGCTTTTTAAAATGCAAAATACACACATCAAGTCAATTTCTTTTCTTTCTTTATTTCTTCATATGTACAGTTAGACAGAGGTAAAGAAAGCTCATGTCTCCGAGCAAACTCGCTGGTTGTTTTTACTTCCTTTTCCTGCATTGCAGGTTATCAAAGCAGTGCATATTGAGGCTGGGACTGAAGGAAATGCCACCAGGGTGGCATATACCACCCGTTTTAGTTTTCTATTTTGGTCCCCTATTTAGCTTTTCTTCCCCCCCCCCCCCTTCTTTTAACACCAGAGCTTTTTTAGTTGTCTCAGATAGGAGTTAGACCCCTTGCTTCCTGGGGACCATGGCTGGGTGTCTATTTAGGTTAAACACTAAACTGTCCACGTGTGTGTATGCTGATCCAAGTGTCTGTCAGATATCTGAATATGGAAAGCAGACATGCTTTGCATGAACTTTGACACAGCTCATTATCTTACTCAACCCAAAGATCTTACCCACACAAAGCATTTAATAAATTCAACTCTTTGGAGCATAGGTACAGCTTTATCATTTTTGTTAACAACTTGTAGTATAATGCCCTATAGATCTTACTGAAAAGACTGCTATCGCTTGCAGGAGCAGCCTAAGCTGCTACTGTTTTTCTGAATGGAAGTGCAATTGCAATGTACTTAAGGGTACTATCAAGTGCCAGAACAGGTGACAGGAGGCATATTTATAGTCCATTGTGCACTGCCCTCTATTATAAGAGGCTTGCATGGTATGGAAATAAATGCAGAATATGATTTACAGAGAGCTGCTGCTGAAACTATCTTAACAGCTTTTTCAACACCCCCGCACATAGTTTTGGACGTGAAAGACATTCTTGGTTAGAGAAAGGATACTCGTGACATAGTTGAAAAAATTCTCATACTGGAAGTTTCCTTGTTGGCAGATTTTGTTGATGGCTTTCAGGAACAAGTTCTCACCCCTTGGCCACTCATGCTGAAGCAAAACAACTACGTGGCCCAGCGCCATATCATCTCTGCTGTCTGTGAAAGCTCTGAGCTTCAGGGAAAAAATTGACATTGAGACAATCAGGAACCACATGTCGCTTTTATAAATATATGGGGTTCATCTCACCTACATCTGTGCAAATACAAAGGAAGTTCTTCAGGAGTGTCTTTAAAATAGGTTAGAAATTTCCAGCCAAAATACCAAATTCTCTCCGCTGACCTATAAGGGAAGTCTGAATACAGACCAAAATAGTTTGAGATTAATTCTATCTCCTCTGCCCCAAACTAAACCAAATAGAAGAGAAAAAGGAGAGAACAGACCCTCCTCCATCAATGGTCCTTCCCCCCGCCCCAAAAGAGCCTCCATTTAGGGGAGAAGCACTTGAGGCACAGGCCTTCAACAGCTAGTCACACCACTGAGATTAGGCCATGCAGCTTCAGGACCCCAGATATGTAAACTAGGCCTTAGAGACACAAGAGAATTTGAAGCCTTGACTGTAGCTTACCTTGAAACAAGCTAACAATAGATGAAGGCAGTAAGGCATGATAGCTCTGCTGGTACATGGCCAAAGCTTCAAATCAGACCCTGCAACAGAACAGTTTATCATACACTTCTTTAGGGGGTCTCATGATTGTCTAAGTTTGAAAGAAATTAGAATGGAACAAAACAAATCTATAATTGCCAAATCTCAGGTAGGAAGAAAAACTTTGAAGGTAAATTATGAATGATTCAAAATGTGAAGTTACACATTTTAAAATTTTTTCATTTCTCTTTTCCTGTGGTAGGACTTTGTCACCAAAAGACTTTAATAGGTACCAGCAGGAAAACCACTCACAAAAACAATAGGGGATAAAGAAGCTCTTCCCTTTTTGTAATAAAAAAAGTGAAGAATTACATACTCAACTGAAACACATGAACTAAAACTGACATGATACTGAGTTTAGGGTAGTAGCAACACCATACCTTTCCTGAATTTAGACTTTACTTTAGGTTGCTCCTCTTGTACTTTACCTCCTTCTTGTATTGGAAGTAAAATACAGCACATGAGGTCAAGCACTTTTTCACATGTTTGCTATAAAAAGAAGAGAGACACAATAATGCTAAGTCTAAATTAAAGTTCTTAAATACAGATATGTTAATAATGGTTAAAAATTTCAGACACTGCAAAGAAGAAAACAATCACAAAATTTCCTGCTAGAACTTGAGTGGACTTACTGCGTAACATAGTTTGGCTGAGCAAAAATCATAGCTGTTATTAAACAATCTCTGAGAGCCTACATAAGTAATTTTAATTGTGAAAAAAATAGGTATTGGCATTCTTCATTTCAAGAGTGTAGGATCAATACAACTACAATCAAAAACTATTTTATTTTGAAGGATTAAGTTTTCAAATGAATTCTTAGAATAGCTTTTAAAAGCTTGTTCTGTCCATGGTAAAAATAGAAAGGAAAATGGCAATCTGACAGCATGACAGAAACGCAATGAATTTTTAACACTATTTCCTACAGACAGTAAGAGGTCTGTAAGGATGTATTACCACATTTCCAGTGAAAAATTAGTAAACTGGAAGGGACAAAAAGATTCGTCCTATAGTACTAGGCTGACATTAGATCGTAAGAGACTCAGCCTTTACTATTAGCGCTGACACTGACTGACCTTAGACCACCATGCACTCCTGTAATATTAAAACCACAAAATATGTATTGCAAAGGTAAAGCAAGTTTAGAGGTCAGGCCAGACAATATTGTTCTGGAGTCTCTTATACTGTCAGTTGATAACTAATTCTTTTCTAAGATGATCACAGAAGTTTCTTTTCTATAAACCTTTTCTTTCCCCTGCCACATGAAGCCTATATCTAAGAATTTTCCCTCAATATTGAAACTGTTTCAGTAAAGTTAAGGAATTCAAATCTGTTACATTTACAGACAATGCAAATACTTGTAGCTATGGAAAATCATAACTAAACCCCCCAAATCATAGCTACCAATGGACTATATAAGAGAGACGCTAATGGACAGTCAGTTAATGTGCCAGGAAGTGCAATTCTTCTCCCTGTGAAGCATGGATTTTTCAGCAGACCCTGGCTTATGTTCAATACCCTTCTGAAAGCAGGCTAACGGGAAAACTCAAAGGAAGAAGACAAATGGGAACCACAGGGCCAGATGAAGGACCAGTGTGTGGAATGCAGCACGTACCCGATATTCACCAAGGGCAAAGTGGCATGTTGCTAACTGGATTAGTGCTCTCTGATTTTCTAGTGATCCTTGTCCTGTAATTTGCTGTGGAGAATGAGAGCCCTGAAGAGCTGCCAAGTGATGTAGGCTGCTAATTGCTTTTTTGTACTGCCCCTTTAAAAAAGAGATAAAAAGACAGTGTTAGTGTCTTCTGTATACAATGGGTAGAAAAGTAGAAATTAAAATTCTCTTACAGAAAGCTTTAAAAACAGAGCATGTCCAAGTAACAGGGCTTCAAAATTTTAACCTAGCAGAACACTCTCCAGTGATGTGCTGTGTACAGGAGTGTGCAACGATCACTTGCAAGGCAGTGAGAAGAAAAACAGAATTCTGCTTTAAAAGCCTGTTTACAAAATTGCATTTATAACTGAAAAAAAAATCATGCTCTTCAGGTTAATCATTACCTTATTTAGACTAAGAAAGTTTGAAATAGCTCTTGTTCAGGTACAAGTACAGGCAAAAATAAAAGACCCCCAAAGGAAAAATATAAAAGAACAAGCTTTGTTCTGCAGATGGTATTTGGAATGAGTACAGTCAGACTAATTTCTGAGAATGATAGATTTTAACTGAGACATTACGATCTTCTGCTATTTGAAAATTCCTCTCTCTGATTGTGTTCCAATATAATGCACTGACAGACAAATAAAATGCCCTTTTCTTCCATACCACTGTTGATACCCACTGGTCAAAACACCAATGTAAAGGTCTCTCCACATGCCAAAACTAGCTGGACTCAACAAAGAGCTATTGGGACAGGAATATCCTAAGTAGGGTAGCTAGCTTATGGCAAGAATGGTATGATTCCATCGACAAAAGGGTCATACTTTAAAGGTGTAATGGGTTTGTGTGGCAAGGTTTTGGTACTGGGGTGGGGGGTGGTCTATGGGGGTGGCTTCTGTGAGAAGCTGCTAGAAGCTTCCCTTGTGTCTGACAGAGCCAATGCCAGCCGGCTCCAAGATGGACCCGCTGGTGGCCAAGCCCAAGCCCATCAGCAATGGTGGTAGTGCCTCTGGGATGATGTTAAGAAGGAGGGGGAAAAAAAAGCATCAGCAATTGCAGCCAGAGAGAGGAGTAAGAACATGTGAAACAACTCTGCAGACACAAAGCTCAGTGCAGAAGGAGGGGGAGGAGGTGCTCCAGGTGCCAGAGCAGAGATTCCCCTGCAGCCCATGGTGAAGAACATGGTGAGGCAGGCTGTTCCCCTGCAGCCCATGGAGCTCCACGGTGGAGCAGATATCCACCGGCAGCCCAGGGAGGACCCCACACTGGAGCAGGGGGATGCCCAAAGGAGGCTGTGGCCCCGTGGGAAGCCCACACTGGAGCAGACTCCTGCCAGCACCTGTGGACCTGTGGAGAGAGGAGCCCATGCTGGAGCAGGTTTGCTGGCAGGACTTGTGACCCCATGGGGGTCCCACACTGGAGCAGTCTGTGCCTGAAGGACTGCACCCCATGGAAGGGTCCCAGGCTAAAGCAGTTCATGAAGAACTGCAGCCTGTGGGAAGGACTCATGTTGAAGTTCATGGAGGACTGTCTCCTGTGGGAGACCCCACGCTGGAACAGGGGAAAAGTGTGAGGAGTCCTCTCCCTGAGGAGGAAGGAGTGGCAGAAACAACGTGAGATGAACTGACCACAACCCCCATTCTCCATCCCCTGTGCTGCTCGAGGGGGAAGAAGGTAGAAAAATTGGGAGCAAAGTTGAGCCTCGGAAGAAGGGAGGGGTGGGGGGAAGGTGTGTTTAAGATTTAGTTTTAGTTCTCATATCCTACTCTGATTTTGACTGGCAATAAATGAAATTAATTTCCCCAAGTCGAGTCTGTTTTGCCTGTGACGGTAATTGGTGAGTGATCTCTCCCTGTCCTTATGTTGACCCATAAGCTTCTCATTACATTTTCTCTCCCCTGTCCAGCTGAGGAGGGGGAGTGATAGAGCAGCTTTGGTGGGCATCTGGCATCCAGCAGACACTTAAAGCAGTCAAACTGGCTAATCAGAACAGCTATTCACTAGAAGGAAGAGCAATGTGGTATCACTTTTACTAGTTTTTACTTCATTTTTTTACCTGGTAGATGATCATGTCTGTAAGAAAGATTCTTAACCAAAGCCAGGTGTCTGTCTTCCATGACAAACAAATTCTGGTGAACTCTTCATAGGTGGTCAGAGAAGAAAAAAGTAAAAGAGAAAATGAAGCATTTCACAGCTTTGGGTTAAAAATCAATTATATAGGGGGAAAAAAAGCTGAGTTTAAAGATGAAAAAAACAAAACAGTAAGAGTGTGAAATCTTTCAAATATAGGACACTCTCCTCCTATACAATCATATTTTGATTATACTTCACAGTATCCAACAAATCTAAAAGCAGGCAGGTGGTACTATTTGTCTGCTTTTTAAATGAGAAATTTGTTTTCAAGATTATCACACCAGATATTATCAGAACGGGAGAGACACAGTAAAGACACATCTTCCTAAGCATGAACGAAAGCAGCGATTAGCAGCACATCCTCACCAAGTATTATCAGCACTACTACTAGCCAGCTGCTCCTTCAGTAAAAGCTGCTTCCAAGAGAAGTGGGGGTGAATAAGCAATGATGCCTGAAGAATGAAACGAAATCCAGAAACAAAATATTCATAAATGCAACAACTGATAAAGCTTCTTATTGGAACTCCATCAAAAATACTCAGGGCCCAAAGTAAATTCAATTTTAAGGATCCACAATGACAGGAATTCTGTTTTAACAATAGTAAAATGACTTCTATGCACAGCAGTGAAGCCCAAATGCAACTCTGCCTGCAGTTAGCCTTACCTTTGTCGAGTGACTCCAGAGAATAGAGCAGCTCCCAGCTCTCTCTTGCCAGTTTAAAACTCTCTAATACTTCAATAGAGTTTGCAAGATCTGCCTTGTTTACTGTAATATGGCGACTTCGCGCCTTCCCAGAAGGATCCTCATCATCTGAGCTCTGCTTAGAAGTCAGTATAAAACAAAAAGATTCACTTCTTCCTTTATACTTATTTCAAAAGACTCTAAAGTCATAAAAGTTTCACTGAAGACAAGAAAACAATTCTGTACTAGAGATGCCAAGGTCCTAGTTTAAGTGCCTTCAACTGACTTTTCACTTAGCTTGTTTTAGTATTAGAACAACCTGTTTTGCTACCAAGAAACTCAGTGGTATAGTGTGATAAACAGTATTCCAAAAGAATTCATTCTGTTAAACGCAGCGTACCACCACTGAACTGCAGCCAGATTATCTGTTAAAATACATACATACTTTATCACTCAGTTTAAGCTTACAGTGGCATAATGCAAAGGAAATGTAATTCTTGTGTAAATGCGTACTTCTACCAGCATAGAAATTGTATAAAATAGTGGTTTCCTACTATTAAAGAAATAGACACATTCACAGTTCTACTCATGAAAAGTCAAGTAATTGGAGGTTTAGCTGTAGAACATCTGACTGCTATAGCTACCATTTTTAACAGCTTCTGCAGTCTCTGCTGAACTCCTTCAACCTAAAGTATCCCATCAGCACATACATATCTACAGCAATTGCTATAAAAAATTGTTTCATTCTTGCTGGCTTTAGCCAAAAAAATATGTTTACAAATTGTGGTCATAAACAGCTATTCCAGGGTAGCTCTAAAAATATGTCTATTACATCTGTGTCAAAACCACTATTGTCTAAATTCCAGTACCAATGCCATTCTGGTTATGAACAAAGAAGTCTAAAAAAGTTACCATTGTTTTTTCTCTTCCTTCAGCAAGTTTCCTCTTTTTGTGTATGTGTTTGTTACGATCAATATCTGTATCACCATAGATGTTGGTCACATCCTCAAGAAGAACCAGTGGCACTTGATTTGGAGCATTTGGACCTGGATTTAAAGATAAATTAATTCAGGATTGCTCTAAACTGATCTCAAAGGTCTCATGCCTACGTCAAGCTGGTTTTGTTTCCTTCACAAGTAATGATTATAATGCTAGAGAAAACAATCTGAAATTAATTCACTTAAGCTGCATAAGCTTAAACTACGCTGGTAAACTATGGTTTTCTCAAAGCAGCCTTACGGTAAAGGTCAGAATGCATTTACCAGACATCACAAGAGTTTGCTCGAGAGCTTCAGAATATCTTTGAATCCTTTTCTTATAGAACAGTCACAAGATATACTCCGGCAGCAGGTGTTCTCTCATCAAGCATATTTGCTTTTACAGAAGTACAACTATTTAAAGGGTGAACAGAACAAATGGCTCTGAAGTGAACAGCCACAAACATGGCAAAGCACAGCAATATTCTCAAAACATTCTCATAAGAAACCAGAGCAATTTGCTGACAGGCACTGATGCCTCAAAGGAGTGAGTGTATTTTGTCACAAGATTTCCCTAGTAGGATCACTGAGTCTCAGCTTTGCCCCCACTGATTTCAGTGTACAGAATTAAACCTTTAACTGACTGCCAGAGCCCATCATCACTCCCCAAAGCCTCTAGAGAAGCCTCATTTTGAAGCACAGAAGACATAATTTCTATTTCCACTGTTGTCACAGAACGGTGGGATCTGGTACCTGTTATTTCAGACCTCAGTGCTTAAGTTTCACTAGATATAAAATAAGAACAACACTTCTTAATCTCAAACAACATTGGTACATGGCCACTACTGAGAAAGCTTTCCTTCTGAAAACATTTTCTCCTTTTGCACAATCAAGTTGTATATAGACGTGCAAAGCTCAGGCAAAGAAAAATATAAAGGAAAGGGGAAATCCATTGATCTGTTTTTCCTTTTTGAAATCTCCACCAGACAAGACAGTAGCGCAGACAAGTATTTTCAGTACGTGCATTTCTTCCGTTTCTATGTGCAGAAAGTTATGAGGCTAAGGCCTCATTCACAATTGCAAAGAACTAATTTGAGAGTATAGTGTAAGGACAATCCATTTCATCTCCTGACATAAATAAACCTATATTAATCTTTTCCCATCTACTCAAAAGTGATGTAGGAGTCCACTATGACATAAGTTAATGTTACAGGAAACAAGCAATGTGGCAGGGTTAACAAATGATGTTATCTCCTTTGACTAGGTTCAAACTAAATACCACCACTGAAATGTCCCACACACAAAGGCTACAACACACTGAAACCACCATCTCTCCTGTACCATCATGTATTCCAACGTGTTGGAATCTAACCTGTGTAAACTGAAAATAGAGCCAAGTCATAATATAGAAAATAGCATCCATGAGAAACAGATACGAAAGTACCACAACTGGGATGCTGGAAGAGTTTTATCACTAGAATTTCAAGAGCTGCCTACTTCTAAAACATGAGAAGAAAAGAGTGGGGTTTTCTTTTACTCATACTGATTTGAATGAGTACCAGTTAAGTGCTTTGCTTTCCAAAGAAATGTTCTCTTCTCAGTAGCAGGCAAGTGCACTGTACCCTTTATGCCAAAACCTCCGGTCCTAAAAAAAACCAAAAACCTAACCTCACCCTTGACTTGGGCTGCAAACTTTCTCTTACATTACTGAAAGTTACACAGCCATCCAAAGAGCAATGTCGTGCTCTTCTGTCTCACTGAGCTCTAGAATCTAAGCTTACAGAGTTTTTAATTGATTTCTAGCACAGGGTGTTATAAATAAACCCCTAAAAGCATCAGCCCAAATAGCAACTCCTGCCAAGCCTGCAGGCAGCCTGAAAGTTATGAAAGGTGTGAATTGCCTCATTCATTTCTCAAGTCTCCAGCAAGACAGATAGGAATTATGTAAGAGAAATGCATTGAAAAGTTTTGTCTCAAGACGTTTCTTTCAAGTCCATGCACATGAGAAGAAAGTCACAGATCAAAGCTCAGAGCTACTCAGTTAAGGAGGAGACACACCTTTTTTCCCCACCACTAAGTTTCCAAAATACATAGGATTCTACATTTCTACAATGAGCCCTCTAAAGAGAAGGAGGAAAAATCGTAATGATAGAAAGAATATGAAAGGCACTGAATACCACTGCACTTTAATGCCAAAGCAGAAATGAGTAAAAGATGTCTTGGAAATATTTTCCTGATGTCAGGAAATGACAGAGGGTACCAGAAATGCTGCACTGAAGGGAATGCGCTCTGCTATCTCAGTATACTTTCTTTTTTTGGTGGTTCAGTCTGAAACTGTGAGCTTTAACATACTCAGTTGTGCAACTTAGAAAGGAACATTTTCACCAGTGCTTTACTTCCTTTCTTCCTCAATGCAGAATCAAGCAGCTAAAACTATATGCATAGCTAAAGTATCTCACCACCCCACCATAACTCTTCTTTCCTCTGGATAGAACAAAAAAATCAACTAAATTAGTCCCTGTATTGGTTAAAATGTTCTTTGCATTCAAGCTGTCATGTCATTTGTCTTCTGAGCTTAGCTGTCTACTGATATTGTTCAGCTGATTACCCAACTTCCTGTAAAGTTGTTTAAAACCCATCATTTGTATTGAGTGTTTCATTGCTCAAACAATCATTTGCTCCACGCAGAAAACTGTGATGAACTACACACAAAATTAAAATTCTTAAATGTTCAATTTACAAACTAATTACAAATAAGGTAAGGATTAATGTCCAAAGCACACCTTAAAGATTATGCTTAAACTATAGAAAGAAAGCCAAGTTGGAAGCTTGTCAATTTCAGGAAATCTTTTCCTATTCAGTTTTAATTTAATTATAAATTTGTTGTGTGTTCCCAATGTAAAAATATCTTCACTTATTTTGTGGAAGCTTTTTGTACAATCTTTTGATTCAAGGAAGCCAGGAAAATGTCAGCTTCAAAGAAACAGAATCAGAGGAGAAAATGAAACAAACACGATGCTGATGGAAGAGCAGGAATTAACCCTAGCAATGTTTCTCATAACATCTGGTCTGTTACTGTTCTCTTTTCTAGACAACTAACTGCTGCCAACCAAGGCTGAAACCACGATGCTACGTTAGATTGATCTTTGGTCTGATCCACTACAGCAGTTGTCATGAGCTACTTCTGCTGGTAAGACTAATGGCTCGGGAGAATTTTTAAAAAGACCCATGTCACACTGTAATATGATAGTTTCAAAGACTAATGAGAGAAGATCTTTCAGACATTAGCAATGAAATCACAAAGAACTCTTTACAAAAGTTGAAACACTAGAAACTAACCTTGAAAGAGCGATGGCTGGATGTTGCTGACATACTGGAACGCATTTTTAAAGAAGACCAACATTGTGGAATACACTACTTGATTCTTATATTTAGCGTGTGCTTCACTATCAAAGTTACTGATGTATCTGCAGAGGTCTTTCATTCGATGCAACATGTCACCAAAACTTCTGAGGAAGAGAGACAAAAAGATTCATGAAGTTACACAGACTCCAAAACTAAAGGAAAGAATGCATGGTGAATATGAAAAACTTCATGTTTTGACTGAGGAAATCCCCCAGCTGCAAGTCGCTGAAGGCTGGAAATGCACGCCAGTGAAACTTCACTAAACATCTGCCATGTTTGTCTTTGCTGAGGCACCAAGGGAAGGATATCCCCTAGTACTACAGCTCTTATGCACGACTTTCATCAGCAAAAATTTACTTTAGAGACTAATTTGAAAGCGTTCCCTGGATCCACATTTTTGCTTTATATCGTACAGTCTTGAAAGAAAAACTGCACTGATTTACACAGAATGTCCTCATGTTAAAATCCTTCTTCAACCCCTCTCCTTAAGAATTAAAAAGCCAAACTCTCTTTAAGAAGAAATACCCAAAAAAGTACACATTTCTCACCTTCTTCCCTTATCCATTTGCCATTCACATCTCATTCCCACGACAGACAATATTTTAAATAGCCTCTCCCAAGGATCTGTAATCTGGGATGATTTCTCTGTGAGGCCATCTATTACGTACTTCTGAGAGCTACGCTTGCTTGGAGACATAATATCAGAGGAATCTTGTGAACCTAGGAAAACCAGCACATTTTTCTCTTTGTAAAGAAATCAAACCAACTGATTTATTTTCAATAAGGAGGTAATGTAAAAATGTACATCAGAGCTTTCAGGGTAACCATTCTTTACTGAGAAGGCTAACAGGGAGCAGTAGGCACTTCTGCCTCCACATACAAGAGAGATTATAGGCTGGATAAGGAGATCTTGGACATTTTTTCCTACCTCTTAGTACATATGTTGAAGCATCATGACTAAGTAGTTGAAGCATCATGACGTATTTTGTTATCAAAGAACTAAGAAACATCAAATACTACTATTAAACCTTGTCTATGGGATACATCACAGAAAAGTAATGCATTCTTCATTTATAGACGTCACTTCAGTAATACTGAAATACATTCTAAGAAAGGTTAATTTTGTAAAAATATTCTTACCTTGATATTGGCTTTCTGTCTGTGTAGATCTAGTTACATAGTTAATATAAAATTCCGCTGCTTTATTCAGATATTTATATAACAAGCTGGCAGGAAGTCGAACATCAGGGTTGTTAATTATTAGAGGAAGAACATCACAAACTAAAATAGAAAACAAACCAAAAAATGCCTTGGGTTTGTGGGTTTTTTTGTTCTATTTATCCTAAGTAAGGTTTCTCAATCAGCAATGTAAGCCTCCATCTCCAACTGACCATATACCATATACCACACGAATGACTGTAATACCAATTTCTACCATATGGTCAGCCTGGTCTAATGTGGCCTCAGCCTCTTCTCACTTAAGCAGTTTTCTAATCTTAATATCTTGAAAGTAGTTTATTGAACTCAGAATCTTGCCATACTAAAAAGTTGTATAATAAAACAAGAACAATAATATTTTCTTACCAAATAATTTTCTAAAACAATTCACTGGGGATTCTTGGTCTTCAATACTTTCAGCATCTAATAATGTTTCTCCAAGGCCTACCTGTGTAAGCAGAGGTGAAAATCAAACACTGGACTAGTGGTTCTAGAAACTTTTTGAACCACAATTCAATGGAGTTGAACAATAATGCAGTGGATGCATGAGTAGCAATTCACTATATGGCAACTGCACGTGCTCATCTCAAAATATATAGTTAAACTATCCCTACCTAACAACAGGTGAAAAGCAATGCCAGAAGATAGCAAAACAAGACCAAGAGAAAAATTGTGCATGCGACTGTATGAGTAAAGATATGCACAGAGAAGTGAAAGCGATGGAAGTACCAGGCCTTGAAGCTGCAGCTTGTCACCTGACCTGTAGTAACTGACTGTGCATTCTGCCTGATGCTAGTACAAGCTAGAACATGTTAGTGTAAGTCAGTCTCAGAACGACCAGGTTTTATAGTCTTTGAACTATTTTTACACTATACTTAAACTGTCTTTAAATAAAGTAGGTCATCATTTAAAGCACTCCTGCTGTAGTTTTCTAAGTCAAAGCAAACACACTGCTTGTTAGTCTAGTCATAACCTCAAAGCACTCTGCACTCAATGAGTTTACTGACAAAAAGCTGAAGCAATTAAAACTCCTTGACACTGTTTTTTGTGCTATTCTGCTTTTTCAAAGAGCATGTAATATTCTTTGCATTTACAAAACAAAAAATTGTTTTATTTGCTTCCATTTCTTTTCTGCCCAATTCTTTCCTGATGGTAACCTCAAGATACAGCAATCTGAACTATTAGCCACAAGTAAACATGAATTAAAGACTCACCCTCCCACTAGGCAAAGGAAAATACATTTGATCAAAATCTCAAGAAACAGAATGCCGATATCCTGAATAGTTACTATGAGCTTCTCTTCTCTTACCCCATGTTGCACCACAGTCTCTGGGAAACGTCGCAGAAGTAGTAATAGCATTTCTGCCCTTTCTAATGTGTTAAAACACTGCTCTGTGGCCTTCAGTAACATTTCACACTGGACCCGACCAGGAAGGGTTTCAAATAATCCTTAAAAAAAAAATTAAAATGTTTAACTTGCTATGTCTGAATTGTGACTGACAAAGGGTAAAAGACTAGTCAACATCACCTTGCCATGAAGAATGAAAGAAATCTCCTTTCACTTTTTTCTACTTTTAATATTTATGCCTGGGAAAAAAAAGGCTGTTTCTTTCAGAGAAGACCGTATGAATATTTATCTGTGTTTATTCAGGTGCACAGAACTTGAATTAACAAGTAAGACTGCTAATGAGTGGAATACTGAAAATCCCAATACTTAAATACTTGACATTTTAAGATGCTTTTTCAAGAATGTTAATCTATTTTTTTACTTGCATTCCACTTCTATAATCATTTCATTAAAAAGTATTTTTTTCAATTTAAACTTCCAATGAGATTCTAAGAAGAAACCAACATATTCTCTCTGTAAGTTTTATGTATCCTCTCTGAAAAATAAAACACACCCCATGAAAAAGCAAATGTTTCCTTAACTGGAATAGCCTGTGTGCAGAGTTACGCACTGCTTATCCTTAGAACTTCTGAAGCACATATTCAAACAGCAGATTATAATTTGTCAGGTGTAAATCCTGCTTTCAAAGCTGCCTGTGGTTGCCAGCAGTGAATGCCAAGCCCTTCTGATTACTGTTCATTTTCATAACCCTCACTTCATATGTACGAAAATTCACCCCATTTTTATGATCATTCATTGTTCTCTGCAATCAGTGGGACAATGATTCCTAAGTCCCATTCCACTTATTTCCTATGCAATCTCTTTTCTAAGTTCTTGTTTTTCTGGCAGACTTAGTCTACCCATATCAGAGACAAAGCAATTAGAATCAGCTTCTCATGTCCCTTTGTGTTTCCTAAGCCTAACACACTGAATGAAGTCTCTAAGGCTGAACTGAGCAAAAAAATCTGCAGCCCACAGGCAAAGTTAAAAGACTGACATTTACTTGCCATGCTAGACAGATAACCAGAAATTCCTTCAGGACTCTCCCTATTCGTTGAATAGAATCCTTACCTCTTAAAAATTGTGTCTGCTTGTCCTGCGAGTCATTCCTTAGCGCTGATGTAATAACGCTAATCTCCCTCCATACAGCAGGTTGGTCTGGAAAATTCACAAACCTGTAATAAAGTTTGAGGAATATATAGTGATCTCAGAATCCGCTTCCAAGACAAAACCTTCCTATGAAAGAAAGTGCATGGGCAAATGGAAAATAAAACCTTCCTTTTTACAGTTTATTTTTAATTAATAAGACCTTTTCTGCTTCATTCATCCACATGGATTTCCAAGAACACTCACATTATATTTTTGGAAACTCTGACATTTATGGAAACAAGCATCTGGCATAACTGTAGAGTTACAGCTCTGATTACTTACATGTCGTAGAGCAGCCTGCCTGCAGATGCTGTCCTTTCAGCATTCCTCTCAATAGTGTACATCTCATACTGCAAGATGAGAGAACAGAATATTAGCTTTCCTGAATACATTTATGAATCAGATTAGTCCTTCCACTCTAAAAAACTGCCCCCAACTTGCCACAGCAATCTGAATAACAGAAAATGAAAGGATTCAAACATTGCTGTAGGAATTTGTAGCTGAGTTTAGACTATCGAATCACACATTAAACTAGGCATAAACATCTGTATGATAATGTAAGTACTCAAATACTAACATGCTGGCTTTATTTTTACACAAATAAAGATCTTAGTTAGAATTCAAAGAGTTCTTTGACCAGCGTTTATTTCCAGTCAGATGCAATGCAAAACGCCAAGCTATTACAAAAGCCATGGGCAAGAGAGGTACTTTACACCTTTATTAGAAACGACTATTTTTTTTGCAGTATCAAACTCAAATGTTTCATCATCTGTAGAATGAAGCATAAAGGGACCTTCCCCTCAGTTATTAAAAACTTCCACCTCTTTCACAAAGCATTCATAGGAGCCGACTTTATTGCAGGTAAACACAACGAGCAGTTACAAGCTCACCACTTTATTTTTAACCACCAGACACCACAGTCAGAGGCTGGGCATCTGCAGCACTGCCCCCGCATGGTTCTGCGTTTCCCAGCAGACGCCCTGTGCATTCAGGGGGGAGTGAAACGCGACGAAGAAAGTCTGCGGAAGTGTTCGGCTGCAAAACAGGGGTGCCGAGTCCGGTCCCTGTCATGGGTGCTGGGTCGAACGTCTCTGGGGATGCTGGGCCAGGTCTCTAGCTGAGTGCTAGGCCCGAAAGCCTATCAGGGCGCTATGTCTGGCCCCTGCCATGGGTGCTGGGCCCGGCCCCTGCCAG